TTTAGAATAATAATTTAGAAGAGGGGCGCCTGGGTGGCTTAGTCGGTTAAGCGTCCGACTTTCGCTCAGGTCATGATCTCGCGGTTCGTGGGTTCGAGCCCCGAGTAGGGCTCTGTGCTGACTGCCAGCTCAGAGCCTGGAGCCTGTTTCAGTCTGTGACTCCCTCTCTCTCTGACCCTCCCCTGCTCACGCTGTCTCTCTCTCTCTCCTAGAAATAAATAAAACATTAAAAAAATTAAAAAAAATAATTTAGAAGAAAGGAGATTATAACAGAGGGGAAAGGTAAGGAGGACTGATAAAAATGGTGGCAGGTAAAGAAAGAGAAGATGGGTATGGAGTATTTCTAAAATGAAGCTTGTCTGTGACAAGAAGAGACACAGAATAACAACATGTCCGCTTAAAGTGGAAGAAGACTGGAAAATGATAGTATCTCATTTTGAAGAATGAGAAAGAGGGAGCAATTTAAAAAAATAATAGAGAAAGAATACATGAGGCGAGATCCTTGAAGAGGAGGAGTATACAGAACCAAAGTGCAGAGGAAAGACTCTTTAACAAAAGGTAGAAGGACTTATGTAAGAGATTAGAGGAAGGGAGTGTGGTGGCAGAGATAATGAGGAAACAGATACATTCATTTTGTGGTAAGGAGGCATCAGGAGCTTGGGATGGTCTCTATTTTTTCTGTGAAGTTGGGCGAGCAGGCCATTGCAGCCAGTGGGAAGGGTAGTGATAGGGTCAAGAGGATGAATGAAGGTGCGACACAACTGCTGCGGGGAATGAGTGAGCATTAACTAGGGGCCCACAGAATTACTGTTGGATAACACTGTTGGCTCAAATAGTAGATTTTTTAATTCTTTATTTTTTATTTATCATTCTGAGAGACAGAGGAGAGAGACAGGGAGAGACGGGGAGAGAATACCAAGGAGGCTCTTCACTGTCAGGGCGGGGCCTGATGCAGGGCTCAGTCCCATAAATTGTGAGATCATGACCTGAGCTGAAATCAAGAGTTGGATGCTTAACTGACTGAGCCACCCAGGTGCCCCTGGCTCACACAGTATTAAAGATTCTGATTAGAGTAGCACAAATTCCCCATGGCTTCTTTTATCTAGCAGAAATCAACAGTCCAAAGCAGGGAATATAAATGCTTACATTAATCAAGAGTCGGGAAATGCCACAGACAATCTAAGGGAGTTGAGTGATGGCTAGAAAATGATTGAACACACTCAAAAAGAGAGAAAACTACAGATAGGAGTGTACAAATCCTTAAAACAGAAATAATATTGCAAAGTGCCAGCTGTGTTTACAAGGAGGGCACCCACTGGCACTATATTCCATACCTGATTCCATACCATAAAGCCAGGCTGGTAACCCCTTAATCTGAAAACAGGTCATAAATACTTTAGCCCTAAAATACCTCCTCACTGCTTACTAGATGAAACGATTGTCAGTGTTGGATGTCTTGGTCCAGCCATCAAGGCATGAAGGAGGAAGAGCATGTGAACAAGCTAGCCAAAGTTTTGTCAGGACAGCAAAAGCCTTGCTAGGATACCTCGTAGCAGCTTCTGCTGACATTTCATTGGCAGCGCTGTGTTATACAGCCATCTCAAATGCAAAGAAGATAATACCAAGCATAACATTTCATTTTCTTGTTTCCACATAGTAAAGGAAAGAAAGAAGAGGTGTTCAGCAAGCTACCCTACGGTGCCTGTCACACCAAGGAAAAGTCAAATCAAGCAGGTACCTTTTATACTACTATTTTTAAATAACATTTTAGATGGATTAAAATAAACAGGAAATTCTAAAGATATGAGATGGGATTTCTGTTGTTGCTTGAAGCAAGGAGAAGCTCATCTGATCTTCACCATGAGTGAAAATTATCAATAAAAACTCTAGATACAATTAAATAAAACAGGACTCACACAATCTAAAGCTTCTTAATGCATTTTAGAATCTTTACTGGCATTTTTTCTTAGGCCTCACCTTCAACACCCCTGGTACACCCTGAGGTTCTGTCCTTGGCATCCCCCTTTTCTGTTCTACCCTCATTCATGCCTACAACTTCAAGAACATTCTGTGGGCTGATGATGCACAATTGTTTTTTGCATCTCTTCTGCTCTTGTGTCCCAAGCCCATCCTCCAGTTACATGCTGGCTATCTCTATTTGGCAATTTCCTAGACATAACAATCTTAAAACATATGAAAGAGAAACTATTCCTGGCTTATGGAAACATGTTCATGCCTCTGCCTGTATTTTTGATCCCATCATGGCAGCACCTGGTTTCACAAGCTGAAGTCCTTGGAGTCTTTAAACTGCTACCTTTTCCTTACTCTATATTCACCAAATCCTTTTGATGCTACTATTAAGCAAAGTCTTAATTCCATCCTCTTCTCTCAATCTTCACTGCCATAGATTCTACTTTTTGGGGGGTGGGGAGCACAGATGTTCCTTCTGTTTACGGTGTCTTTAACTAACTTCCTTCTTTAAATTGTTATCTTTTAAAGTAAAGAATGTACTTTGCCCCTTCCCTGTTCACGCTTTCTCTCTCTCAAAAATAAATAAACATTAAAAAACAATTCTTTTAAAGAATAGTATCTTGGGAAACAGGCACGTTTTTGGTGAGACCAAGTTGGTATAATCTCTAAGGAAGGAAATTTGTCAATATCTACCAAAATTTAAAAACACAAATACTCTTTGGGCAATTCCTCATCTAAGAATTTATTCTATACATACATATTTGGGCAAAAACTACTGACAAGGATATTCACTGCAGACTGGTTGTAACAGCAAAATATTTGAAATAGCTTAAATGTCTCTGAAAAGACATGTTAATTACATGGCACTTACAGACAATGAAATACTATGTAACTATCAAAAAGAATAAGGTGGGCCTATATGTATTTGTCACAATCTACAAGATAATGTGTGAAGTGAAAAAAGATACAGAAGAATGTGCATGATATGCTGACATTCATGTTTTTAGAAAAGGAGAGATATTGTATATGCTTGTATATGCATTATGTCTACGAAAAATGAATAAGAAAATGTTTACAGTGGTTGCCTATAAAGAGGAGAACTGGGAGCTGGCATCAGCATTGGGAGACCTATTTTTCACTGACCATCTTATTGTATCTTTTAAATTTTGTATCTGTACACATAATGGCTAGTTAAATGAATTCAATGAAGCTTTACTAATAAGATGTCGATCAATTTCATAAAACTTTATAATTAAGCATTAAAATACCTTTAACAAAATCATTTTCAGCCTTTTCTTGTTCATATTTTTTGGCAGTTTGTGCACATGGAAAAAGTCTGCAGGTACTGTTTAGTCATTTAAATGATTATTCAGGAATTATATCAGGGATGCAAAGATATAGAAGACATGAGACTCAAAATTCTCTAGTAGGGAGAATAAACATGTATTCAAATAATCTTAATATAGTTACTTCTTATTCAAAGCTTCTCCAATAGCAGCTAAGTATAAAACCAACATCACTTCACAGAGAGTGCCTTTTGGGCTGTAGCAGTGAGAATAACAGCCCAACAAGGAAAGGTAAATAAAGGTCAAATTAAATCCAAGAACAATGGGTAGGCCAGGCTCTGGCCAGGTGATGGTGATGAAGAAAGAACTGTAGTTTAACAATTAATGGTACTAGAATTCTCACAACATGATTTTGAATAACTGGCAGGATTATATAATAAAGCAAGAAAAAAAACCAAGTAGGTATGAGTGATTAAGTGAATATTTTATATAGAAATTACTAATAAACCAAAGACATTCCCACGCTGTGCCTTCCCTTTTTAAAAAATAATAAGCTCTTATTTTAGCAATTACATAAGATATGACATTTATGGCAGGTGAAGAAGAGAAACAATGAGGAAGAGAAGCAATCAGTGGTTTTTGCAACCATGATAAAGGATATAGTGGTGACGCAATTAATATATGTTGTTAATATCTTCATGTACTCTGCAGTCAAATATTATTCCTACATGGAGTTAGATACAAATAAGATAACGACATTTGTTACATCCATATCTGGAGATCTCAAAGCATTTGAAAGCATTCATTAGTTCCCAATATCCTGGTCAAATACATTAGAAAAATAAATTGGGGCACAGAGAAAGTGAACAGTTCAAGGTCAATCAAAAAATCAGTAACAGATTTGGAAAATGATATATATTCTTGCTCCTGGTCCTGAGGCATAAGTCATAGCTCCATCATTTAATGTTTCTTCTCCTAAAATGTTTCTTCTCTTCTCTGGCTCTGCCAGAGCCAGTTCTCTTTGCTGCTAAATAACAAATGATTACATACAGTTCAATAAATGTGAAATGAGTTTAAGGAACAAAGAAAAAGAACTGGGCTGATTTTGTTTTGATAAGGATTCTAGGTCTATTTGTTAGAGAAGATTAAGAAAAAACATTACCAAATTTTAGAATTGGGAGGGCTTATGATTGTCTATATTATCTTACACTCTGTTCCATTCTTCTATGGGCTAAGTTATTATGTCCAATACCTTTTTCAGTACTTCAAGAATCTTTCCTGCAATGCAGCTATTTTAATTAACCGAACAAAGGTACTATTGATCATCAATAAAATAACCCAAACCATAATTAGGTATACAGTACACTGTATTACAAATTATATTTCTTCTGTGGCAACAGAACCTTCTACATTCTATAGAGAACTGAAGACTAATGAACCCAGAAAGTACCATATTACACTTAATGATTATCATAAATATAACCATGCAAGAAGGAAAATTTAAATGTTAACAACTACATGAAATTCATAACATTCTTTAGACATATAAGTACTATATTGGGCTCTTATTTAAAAGGTGATTAATTCTTTATAATACTTTTATTTATTTTAGAATAAGAATCATTAGTTCTAAGCAGAATTTGGTAAAGTCTGAAAACCCTTTAAAAAATTAAATGAAGTCCTGAATTATTATGCGTTGAATTTCAATCAGTGAAACTGAAAGTTTTCTTCCTAAAAGCCTACCTGCGCATTGGCTTTCCTTCCATGCACCATGAAAAGTACCCTTCACCACTCTCTAAAGCCGAACCTAAGACAACAGAAAAGCAGTAATTAATTTAAAAAAAAACAAAAACTATTTCTGATCTTTCCAGTTACAATCCCTATATAATCATTCGGTGATACAAAAATGTGTATCATATTATACCACGGGCTTTTTTAGTCTGCACAATCATAACCTCAATGCCTTTTTTTATAAAGGAATTTTTTTAATGTTTTATTTATTTCTAGAGGAGAGAGAGAGAGAGAGAGAGACAGCGTGAGCAGGGGAGGGTCAGAGAGAGGGAGTCACAGACTCTGAAACAGGCTCGAGGCTCTGAGCTGGCAGTCACCACAGAGCCCGACGCGGTGCTCGAACACACGAACCGCGAGATCATGACCTAGTGAAAGTCGGACGCTTAACCGACTAAGCCACCCAGGCGCCCCTATAACCTCAATACCTTTAAGATGACTATCCTCAGTCTGGATATAGACATGAAGGCTAAAACGATTACAAGGGAAAGTGAGGGAAAGTGCGCTATACAGTCCTGACTGCTAGGTTAGTCCTACCTCTCTTCAGAAAGTGCGTGAAGACATTTAACTTTTGACCTCACCATCACGTATGCCTACAGAACATATTTACCAGATACCCACAGAAGTACTAACAGGATAGACTAGGTAGGGAACGCGCGGGTTTAACAATAGATCTGAGGCTTTAACTTGTCCCGAAGTGACAGGAGCCGGAGGCGGCATTTGCTTTTAAAAACAAACGACTCCTTTTCCGACAGCCGGGCAGCACGAATGGGGCAGAGAAGCTCTGGTTCCAGACTTAACATTCTCCTTACAAGCCCTTCCCTCCGTGCCCGAAACAATGTCCACCACCCACTTGGCAAGCTCGGTAGGTCCCGAGGGTTAAATGGGACGCACAGTATCCATTTCCTTCCCCCGAATTCCAGCTCTTGTCCCGGTAAGCTGTGCAAGGTGAGAACCCCAGCATCTCCCAGGGCTCTCGGGTAGGGATGGCAGCCAGCTAGAAAGCAGTCTGGTGCCCCGCGAGGCCCAGCCCCAGCGCCCCAAAATCCCCTTTTCGGCGCCGACTGACAGGCGGCAGCCGAAGCACGGCCCCCTACCGCACCCGGCGGCTCAGCAACTTAGGACCAGATTTGCAAAGCAAGTTCTGGGCGCTGTCCACTGTCTCCTGCTCTAAGGCAGCTAACTTACCGGCTCTGTCACTTTCTTCTCCTCTGCCGCCGCCCCCTCTGCCTCCTCCGCCCGCCACCCCGCAGGATGCAGATCTTCAAACTATTTCCTCCCCACCCCTCTCTTCAATTCAGCAGCGGAAATGGTCCTGCTCCTAAAGCGTTCCCTCTGGAACTCATTTAGCTCGCCGAAAGGTTCCGGTGCGGCTCAGGAAGTAGCCGCGCCCATTGCTGGGGACTGGGATAACCTCAGACTGCCTGTCCTCTTATCCACTTCCTCCAGTCTTCAGGATGACCGCTTTGGAAGTTCACAGCTCATCTGACAGAATTTGAATACCGAAGCTCTCTTCTTTCTTCTTTGTTTTCCCCAATAGAAGGCAATAGAAAGATGAGTGCAGTCACAAAAAGTGAGGAATTTTTACTTATCTGTTGTTTGTAGGTCTCCTATTGCACAGTATAGGCACAATGTTGACCCTAATTGTGGAGTACATGATTGATGGGAGGGGCTGACATATATCTCTTAGGCGCCTACAATGTGCAAGCTGCTGAGGATACACAGCCAAATCAGAAATAGACCTGACCTTCCAGATTTCCCACAGTTTATCTTTCAAGATACCAGAGTTTTCTCCAAACACTTCCCCAAAGACAGATTAACAAGAGAAAAACAAAAAGTGTTTGTCCACTTTACCCAGACATTTCAAACACGTCTTCTGTGTGAAAAATTCCTTTTCAATTTGTACTTTGCCCGATTTTACCAGAGCATATAGCTATTTGATTTTTACTATATATTTAGAAACTATACAAGTGATAAGGTAGGGGATTCAATTTCAATAATATCAGTGAAAGACTGTTGCTGGTTTCCTCGTATCTTGTAGGCTTACCATGAATTTAACCAGATTTTCTTTAGTTGTTCTTCACATGGGATTGGCATGTTTTGTCCAGTTGTTTCTGAAAGGGAAAGAATATTTTGTTAATTAGGTTGTAGTGGGAAATGTCAGCCCTCCATACTTTGAAAACCTAGTCCTGTGACTGACTGACTTTGTGATCTTGGTCAAAGTTCTTAATCTTCTAAGCATTAGTTTTCTTTGTGTAGAAGGATAATAATGCCTCTTGTATAAAGTTGTTTTGAGAAATACATTATAAAGAAGATCATGTTGTGTGTCTGGCACTTAGTAGGCATTCAACAATTGCCAATTTTTTTTGCATGCAAAGTATGGTGCTAGGCTTTGGAAATACAATCATGAATGAGATAGACAACATTCTGAAGCTCATTTATGTTGTTATGGTGGTTGTTTTCCACTATGAGTAATTCATCTAAGCCATCTTCAGGCAATGCAATACTGACTAATCAGAAATCAGAGGAAATCTAATGGGGATTGTAGACTTCCTAGTAATTTTAGAAGAGATGCAGTAAGAGATAGCATCTTTTCTCTCTGGCAATTGTTGTGTCTGGATGTGACACCTGACACTACTGCAACTATTTTGCAACCATGAGAGAAGCCAGAGGAGAGTGAAGCTAGACAATAAGGATGGTAGAACATAGAGACTGAAAGAATTTGGATCCTTGAATGTCATTTTTAAACCACGCATCCTCCCTTTCCCAGAGACTGCCCCTGTTGTTGGATTTCTAGTTACGTGAGATAATAAAATTCATATTTTAAAGTGAGTTGGGGGTTTCTATTACCTGCAGCCAGAAGCATACTAATTCATATAAAAGGATATAGGCAATAAACAAGTAAATAAGCAAAATAATTCCAGTCAGTGGTAAATGCTATTGAGGGAGAAGATAAACAGGGTGATGTTATGGAGAGTGGCTAGTTGAGGCAAGGTGAGGCTTTTATTTTTATTTATTTTTATTTATTCTTTTATTTTTATTAAAAATTATTAATGAGTATAGATGACATACGATGTTACATTAATTTTCAGTGTGAAACATAAATTCAATATCTCTATACATTAAGCCCTGTTTACCATGTGTAGCTACCATCTGTCCTGTTACAATATCATTGACTATATTCCCTATGATGTACCTTGTGTTCCCATGGCTTATTCATTCCATAATTATTGCGTGTATCTCTCACTCCTCTTCATCCATTTCACCCACGACCTCAGTGGAAGTCAGATGGTTAACTGACTAAGCCACACAGGTACCTCTAGGTTACTTTATTTATTTATTTATTTATTTTTACATTCTTACCATACTATTTTTTAAAAATAGTTTATATCTAGGCTACTTTAAATTGCATGATGAAGGAAGTGTTCTCTGGAGAGGTGGGTTGAGATCAGAAAGATGAGAGAGAAGCAATCTAGGTGGGGGGCACCTGGGTGGCTTAGTCGGTTAAGCGTCTGACTTTTGCTTAGGTCATGATCTCGCGGTTCCTGGGTTCGAGCCCTGTGTCGGGCTCTGTGCTGACTGCCGGCCCAGAGCCTGGAGCCTGTTTCAGAGTCTGTGACTCCCTCTCTCTCTGACCCTCCCCTGCTCACGCTCTCTCTCTCTCTCTCTCTCCTAGAAATAAATAAAACATTAAAAAATTTAAAAAAAAAAAAAGAGAAGCAATCTAGGTGGAAGGCAGGGAGAAGAGTGTTTCAGGTAGAATGAATAAGAAGAGGAAGGACCTAAGGCACAAATAAATTTGTCTTGTTCAAGGAACATAAAAAAGGCTAGTGTGGTTATAAGTGGTATCAGATATGAAATAAGAGAAACAAACAAGAACAAGATCATATATTGTCTTGTAGGGTACTGTAAGAAGTTCAGATTTCATTTTAAATTTTATGGGAAGGCTCTATATAAATGGAGATAGTTCAGTTCAGTTTAGGTTTGACAGTTAGTCCCAAATTCAAAGCCTTTGAAAATTAGAAAAAAGAAAAATGGATGTTCCTTATAAAGTATAAGGGACAATCACATGTAGGAAATATTCTTGCTGTATTATTTCCTGTCTTGAAGAATAAAGGTTATAATACACGGAAAGTACTTAGGAAATCCCTGGCACATCACAGACGGTCAATAAATACAATTCCCTGGATATTTAAATGAAAATTCAGTGGAAAACTCAGTGACTCATGTCACATAAGAAGTCATCTTGAAGAATTATCTATGAAATAATTAAGATATAAAAATGTGTATTAAAAAAAATGATGGAGTAACAAGATCAAACTTCCCTTCCCACTAAGAACAACTAAACTGGAAAAAATATATATGAAACAAGTTTTCAGGCAGCAGAGAATGATGAGTCCTGAGAGATTGGGCAAAACAAGGTGAATCCTGCTATTGTCCCAGTTTATTGCTTGGAGATATTGCCACAGAGCAGGGAGGGAGAACCCAGGCAGAGCCTGAAAGCCTCCTTAAATTGCTGAGACAAAGTTAGGAATCTGGGCAGACTATGGCAGCTTGAGTTTGCAGCCCAGAGCACCAAAAAGAAGAGAGCTACACTGAGTTCCAGAGAGCTTCAGAGGAATCCTCTGGAATCTATTCCCAGCTGTACTGAGATATAATTGACATATAACATTGTGTTAGTTTAAAGTTGCACCCCCTTGAATCTTCATCTGAGTGCTGATCAGTATATGCATGTGAAGAAAGTATGTAAAGCCAGGGAAAACACTGTCTGAAAGAATTAGAAGAAACACTCTGTGGAATTCACTAATGGGGTTATTTTCACATATCAAAGTAAAAATTCTCATAATTCACAAGAGGGGTAAAGTACTTAGAAGAGTGTTGGTGTTAGTAGTGGGGCAAATTTAGCCTTAGATTAAAGGTTGCTCTGATACTATGTAATAAGATTTAAGCATAAGCCTTGAAAGGATCAAATTGTTTCCAAGTAATTTAACTGCAATACAGAACAGAGTTTAGGAATATATATAAAAATAAAAATATATATACAACACTGAACAATGTAAAAGTCACAATGCTTGGTGCCTGATTAAAAATGACACAACATTCAAAGAAGCAGGAAAATATGGCTCATACCGAGGAGAAAAGTTAATCAATGGAAACAGGCACAGAAATGACACAGGTGATAAAATTAAGAGACAAGGATACTAAAAGGGTTATAAAAACTATATTCCACATGTTCAAGGAGGTAGAGAAAAGGTTGAACATGTTAGTAGTGGGGCAAATGTAGTCTGTACAGGGGATATGAAGAAAGACTAAAATTCTAGAAATAAAAATGCATGAGATGAAAGAGTCACTGGATGAAACTAAAAGCAAACTAGACATTGCAGGAACAAAGATTTGTGAACTTGATGATACAGTAATAGAAATTATCCAAAATGAAACACAGAGAGAAAGAGACTAAAGAAAACAACCAAAGCATCAGGCGTTGTGGTACAACTCAAAGTTGCCTAATATATGTGTAATTGGAATTCCTGGAAAAAGAGGTAGGGATGGGGTAGCATAAAAAATATTTGAGGAGATATTGACTGAGAAGTTTCAAAATTTGATGAAAACTATAACTCCATAGATCCAGAAAGCTCAATAAACTCTGAGTACGAGATATGTGAGGAAAACAACAACAATGTATCAAATTGCTTACAACCAGTAATAAAGAAGAAATCTTAAAATAGACAGAAAAAAGAGACACATTATATGCAAAGGAACAAAAATAAACATGACAACAGATTTTTTCATAGGAAACGATGTAAGCCAGAAGACAGGCACAGCATCTTTAAAGTATTGAAGAAAAACTGTGGACTTAGAATTCTATAACTAGTGGAGAAAGAGACAGAGTACACTGGGAAGGCAACCTCATAATTGCGTGAGTGTGAACTGGGGAAGATAAAAGCCGGCCAGACACAGAGGGCGGGGAGAGAGTCCCCCTCACGGAGAGCCTCCGTGAGTTGAGGTGAAAAGAAAGAGCAGCTGAAACTGCTCATAGAACTGTCCTGGACCCAAAGGCAAGGGAATCAAGAGCCAAAATGAACTATTGGGACCTCATCAAGATTAAAAGCTTCTGCATGGCAAAGGAAACAATCCATAAAATTAATAGACAACTGACAGAATGGGAAAAGATAGTTGCAAATGACATATCAGATAAAGGGCTAGTATCCAAAATCTATAAGCAACTCACCAAACTCCACACCTGAAAAACAAACATTTCA